CTGGTAAAAAAATTAAGTAAGTTTTTTTTTCTGTGGTTTTTTTTTTTTTTTGCAGTGCTGAAGATGGAACTCATGGTCTCACACATGCTAGAAAAGTGCTCTCCCACTGAGCTACATCCCCAACACAGGTTTCTTTATTGTGGGATTTCTCTTGGCCCATTACATGAGAAATTATACTGACAATCTCCACGGGATGCCTCACTGACCAGAGCTCTAAGAAATGCACACCAGAAAACACTGGCATTCAGGATAAAGTCCAGATCCAACTGGCCAGTTTCAGTTTCTTTATACTCAGGCCCCATCTCTACCTGCTCTTCCACCCTAGCCACACATCCTAGATTCTAACATGCTGTTCTCAGGATTTGTAGGCCTCCCTTCCTTTACTCATGCCTCTCCCTGCAAAGAATGAGATCTCATTTTGATCTAGCAAAATTCCAGCTCTTCTAAGAAACCCTCCCCACTTTACAGAAACAGAAGTAGTTGCTGTGTCCTCTGTTCTTCCACAGACCTTAGTGCAACCCACGACTTCAGCATTTTTTTCAGATGTGAACCATAATTACAATTATGCTGATTTCCTCAATGAGAATGTAAGCACCTTACAAATACAGACCATACATTATTCTCTAGCATTCAGCATAAAGCACAGTACATGGAAAGTGTTCAATGATTTAGTCATTCTAGATTCCAAACAAAATAGAACAAATGATGATCCGAGGCTCTTGCCAATCCCCATATTGCTCATCAATCTTAACAACTTACGGACCTTACCCCTGTTATCCTTCTCCTACATTAACTTCTCTTACTCTAATGCATCCTTCTTATTAGCACTCAACATGCTATGATTTCCTCCTATTTTAAAAACCAGTGTTTTCTTCAATCTCCATTCCCTTTCTCACATCACTACATCTCCTTTCAATACCAAACTTGTTGAAGAACTGTTTATTTTCAGTTTCATTTCCCTATCTTCTCTTCATTCTTCAAGCCTCTGCCCCTAACCTTGTCTTTGAAGCTGTCCTCATTAGGATTATTGATGACTTTACTTTGCAAAATCTAGCGTGACTTTTTAGATTAAGCTTATTTGGCCCCTTGATAAACATGGACACTGCTGACCAATCCCCTGTCCCACCCCCTATACTCTTTCTTTTGTATTCTATGACAGCATTGTCTTCTGTTTCCATTCTGTTTCTCCAGTCACACATCCTCAGTCTCCTCCAAGTCCCTTAAATATTGGTGTGCTTCAGGACTTTCAACTTGGATCTTTCTTTCTGATACCAATAACAATGCTGCTTAAATACTTAGCTTTGGGCCAGTGGTAAGATGGAAGAGCTAATCCTGATACTGCCATACTGAGGTGGGATCCTTGAGAGTTAAAGTCTTCTAGGCCTGAGGTGGCCCGTTGACCGTTGGCAGAAACAAAGCAAGAAGATAATCCTTTTTAGAAGGAAACTTCTCTAGTTTTGTCCCACAGAATTCCTATAGACTGAAATAAAATAACAAGCTCACAACTAAAAATCAAGCACATGGGAAAACAAGTACCATGAGAGTTAGCAGAAATGAAATAAACAACAGATTCAGATCCTTAAGGACTATAAATATTAGAGCAGCAGCTGAATAATCAGCTGAAGATATAGAAGAGCTTTATCTTAGATGTTTCAAGAAACAAAAGGCACAATCACAAGAATGTACAAATATCATTGACAAGAATCAGATTTAGGGGAAAGAAGAAACTTGTAAAATGAAAAGCAGAGTTTTTGAAAAGAAGAATTCAATGAATGTGTTAAATAGAGTCAGCTGAAGGGAGAATTAGTGGCTTTGAAGATATATATATCTGAATAAATCACCTAGCATGCCGAGAGGGATGGATAAAAATATGACAGACAAGTTAACAAATGGAAAAGAGAAGGCTTCACATACTCCTAACTGCAGCATCTCAGAAGGAATGAACAGAGAGAATAAAAGACAGGCAGTTTTGAAGAGACACTGGCTATAACTTTTCAACAAATGAACATCAACCTGCAGGTCTAGGGAAGTATGATATATCTAGGATAAACAAATGAAATACATGTTGTGCTAGTTAGTCTACAAGACAGCCCCCAGTGAGTCTCCTCTCCTGGTATCCACACCTTGTATAGTTGCCTCTCAAACTGTACCAAGGGTGTTCTGGTATAGACACCAAAAGAATGCGATGGAAATAATAGTGTTATCTCCTCTGAGATTAGGCTGTAAAAGAAACTGAGGTTGGTTATGGAGACTCATGCCTGGCCACCTAGCTACTCAGGAGGCAAAGATTTGGCAGGACCTTGGTTTGAGGCAAGCCAGGGCAAAAAGTTAGTGAGACCCTCATCAATAAGCCAGGCCTGGTGGTGCATGCCTGCGGTCCCAACTACATGGGAGGCTGTAAGTAGGAGGATTGTGGTCCGAGGCTGACCCTGGACAAAAATGTGAAGCACTACCTAAAAATAACTAAAGCAAAAAAGGCTGGAGGTATGGCTCAAGGGACAGAGCACCTGCCTAGCAAGCACAGGGCCCTGAGTTCAAACCCCAATACTGCCTCCCCTCCCCCCCCCGCCAAAAAAAGACAGAGAAAAAAAAAAGAAAAGAAACAAGGCTTCCATATTGGTTGCTCTCTCGCTTTCTTGTACTCTCCTGGATCACGGGTTCTGGGGAAGGTCAGCTGCCATGTCAGGAGCACGCTAAGCAGGGAGCTACATGAGGAGGAACTGAGGCTTCCCATAAGCAGTCCTGTGAGCACATCATTTGGGAATCAAACCGTCAAGTCCTAGTCAAGGCTAGGACTTGCCACCAGCTTGACTTCAACCTCTTCAAAGACACCCTGAGCCAGAAATGCCCAGATACGCTGCTCCTGGATTGACTGCTGACCCTCAGAAAAACTGTGCGAAATTAAAAATATTGTCTTAAGCAGCTAATTTTTAGGGTACTTTTCACACAATGATGGATAACTAATACATTGTCAAAACCAGTTTCAAATGGCTTACAAAAAGCCTTCTCTATTGGGTCCAGACTGCTTTTTCAGCCTCACTTCTTGCCACACTCTCTCTAGCATATTTCATTTCAAACAACTTTGAGTTCTGGAATGCACATGTTCTCTCCCACCTCCACCCTCTGTGAAGCTTACATGAGGAACCCCCTGCCTGACACATTTTTCAACACTCTCTTCCTTTCTCCCAACATACACACACACTTCACTAATTTCTCCTCATCATCAGAGCACTTACTAAACTTTATGACAAAGTCCTACGAAATTGTCTCTTTCCACTAGACTCCAGACTTCAAAAAGATAGAGACAAAACCTGTCTTCATTATTATTTCAGCACAGTTCCCAGCACAAAGAAGGTACTTGGTAAATATTTGTCACTTACAGTCCACAGGATAGGGACAGGCAGGAAGGCTAAAGGTTGGAGATATAAACATTCTCAGGCAAAGATCCAAACAAAATCTCCACATTATATGTAACTGTAAAAGAACCAAGAAAACCCTATATTCCATACAATCTCAAATTCAGGGAAGGTTTGAATAGGGCCGAGGTTCAAAAGTTGGATGGTTTCCAGCTCCTTCCAAATCAAGCCCCATTGTAATTTCATTATGATCCTTGACCTGAACATCAGACACACCCATTCTTGAAAACACAGTTATACCCAAGGCCAAACAAAAATGATTTAAAAAATTAACACCTGTCCTGCATTTATAGTACAATTCTAGTTTATTATGTTGATAATTAAGATCTGACTATGTATGGTATTTGTGGTATGTGCCTAAATATGAACATAAACATACACATATGTACACACACACATATCATAAAATATTAATCTCCAGTACCCTCTACTGGTGGAAATACCTCATCTGCACATATGAATGGTCTTATTGCCCTCTAGTGACCACAACCTATAAAGACAGAAAATCCATTAGCAGATGGGAGAATCTCCTCGCCTATCATGATAGGGTTTTATGTTCTTTAAGCATCTAATTTTCTCAGACTCTGGTTTATATTACAGGGGTGCAACTCTAAAACTCTTGGGGGGCCCCCTGGGGATTTTGCACAGCACTTCCCAGCTGTTAGTACCAGTGTGAAGCTGCTCCCTCCTGCTTCTCAGGAACAAGAGGTCAAGGGGAGGCAGACAAGGCAATGGCTGCACTAGTGAGGGCAAGAGTAGCAGCTGTGAATGACTGCCCTGGAGTCCCTGGGGAACTGGGAGCAGCTTGAGGAACACATGCTGGCCCTCCCTTGCATATTATCCACAGTTGTGTACTGTACTAAAATGGCAATTCAACATCCCTCACTTACCTTTGAAATCTCTCCAAAGCTATAATAAATGACGTAGCAGCAAATGTTGTTTTCACTTTGCTTTATAAACCAGGCTTTGCAAATTATTTCAGCTCAACACAGAAATCTAAGTTTCTTTCAAGATTTAACTGAAATGTCACCTCTTCTACAAAGCCGTTTTGAATTCCCCAGATTTAAGTGACGGCTCTGTCCTTTTGACAGTGTACAGAATGGTACCTAGAACATTATCTATATGTTTTATGTATAATCTATAATATTTCACAGCTCCTACTTGCCTATACTGCTGTCTCATCTACCAAACCCTAAGTTCCCTGAGGTTACAAATCATGTCTTACTCATTTTTGCACATCCAGAATCAAACACACTCAAAATGTGATCTACAGATCATTGACAGTTGCCAATTCACAAGGTAGGTACAGAAACTGAATTCAGATATTTAAAAACTGTTATTTGACAGAGTAACTCTACATCTTTGAATCTAATTAAACAACTGGAGCTTGAGTATTGTATATTTTAATTTCATTTTTCTGGTAATTTTTAAGTATTGGCTTATAGTCAAAGGAGAATTTTTTAAACAATGGTCTGTTCCCAGAAATTGTTTGAGAAGCACTCATACGGCAGATAATATTTAAGGGAAAGGAGAAAGAAAGAAGGAGACAAAATAGAAGTACTTTTCATAAAATTAGGAGCATACCTATCCTTGTCGATCTTAACACTTCCCTGGAGGGTATTTTCTTCTTTAATTCTTGTAAGGCTTCAACTAGATTCTCTTTGGTTTGATCAGGAAGCTCCAACATAGTTTTCCATCTTTTTATGTCTTCTACAACCACAACTCTCTGAGAAAAAAGGAGAGTCATTTGGAAAATGGAACATTTTCATTAGAAAGACATCTGCCTTCACCTGAACTAATGGGACTCTATTGACATATGAATTATTGATTATGACCTGAACCAAAGCACAGTATGTCTGATGGCCCCAAATGATGGGTAATTGCTTAAAAGCAGGTCCCTGCTTACTGCAAATCAGGAAGAGAGTTGCATCTATTAGGAAAAGTGCAAGTTTTAATCTTATCATGCCAGACACCACTGGGCACTTAGCAGCAGGAGGTAATAAGGAAGAGAAGAAAAGCAAAATGATGCTAAGGTGAATCAACCTTACAGTTCACGTAAAAGTGTCTTAACTCATAGGCAAAGACAGAAAGCAGAGAAGTCATAAAGACATGTTTATTTCAACAATAAAAAGCACACTTCAACAGCTCCCCCCTTCCCAGAGAAGAAAACTCAAACTCTTTCTTTTTGAAAGAATGTTTTAAAACTTCAAACACATACAAAAAGGTACAAAGAGTGGTCACTACTTACAATGGAAAAGATTAATAGTCTGCCATTCCCCATAAAATAATAAAACATTATAAAATTTAAATCCCTTTGCACCCTTCACCAAAATCATTCCCCTTCTTTCTTCCCAGAAACTGCTATCTTAAAGTTGGAAGTATAAAAATATTAAGTATAAAATATTAAGCATAAAAATATTAGTAACTAAGGAATATAGGCGAAAAATATGGGAAAGTTCTTTGTACTATGATGCAACTTTTCTATAGTTATGAAATTACTTCAACTAAGAACTTTCATTTAAAAAATTTTTTTTGGCAGTACTAGGGTTTGAACTCAGGGTCTTACGCTTGCTAGGCAGGCACTCTACCATTTGAGCCACTCTGCCAGCCCTGATTTGTGATGGGTACTTACGAGATAGGATCTCAAAAACTATTTGCCCAGGCTGACTTCAAACCTCGATCCTCCTGTTCTCTGTATCCTGAGTAGCTAGGATTACAGGCATGAACCACTCTCTAGCTCAACTAAGAATGTTTAAATTAAAAAAATAAAGTGTAGGCTGGAGGAGTGGCTCAAGCAGTAGAGCACCTACCTAGCAAGCGTGAGACCCTGAGTTCAAACCCCAGTACTACCAAAATAATATAAGATAAATAAAATAAAAAGTAAAGTGGCAGGCAAATATCAAAATTGCATTTATAATTACAAAATAAAAAATTTTCCTTGGGGATCATTATTGCCTGAGGCGGGGTGACAATTAGTGAGTAGAAAGGGACATATGAGGCTTCTGGAATCCTGGAAATGTTTCTTCATTTGGATGCTGATATGTTCACAATGTGAAAGTTCAGCTGAGAAGTCCACAATGAGAGGAGGGTGTTTGACTTCCCTATTTTCCAGTCCTGGCTCTCCAACTCCCCCCGCCCCCCCCCACCCGTCCCGCAACCTACTTGTTTGCTTCGGTTTCTTAGTCCTCCATGTTCAAAGCTGAGAAAGGGAAAAGCTTTACTATCTGTTGTGATGCTACACTAATCAGGTTTTGGTGTTCTCCGAACTGGCAGATATTTAAAGCTGATTTTTTTTTCTTGCAGAGTGGTTTTTGTAGTACCTTGGAGAGCCCTCACTGCTGAGAACTCACCTGCAATACCCGTGATGTGGGCAATGTTTCCAACCAGCCACTTAAAAGCCCTCCCCTATTCCCCAGTTTTTGGCAATCTACTTCACACGCACTCTCTCTGTAGGGGTTCTAAAGTCCTTCCAAGTATCCTATGAACCCAGCTACTTTAATTCAACCCCAGGCCAGCTAGCATTTTCTCTCATAGTTTCTATCTTTGTTCTTAAAAAAAAAAAAATCAAAGGGTAACAGCCTTCCCAATGTAGCCACTTCTCCTGATAGCATCAGCCAGCCACTTTCTGTCTTTGGACTTTCTCAAGCACAGGTCTGGTCTGTGTTCACCAACTCCAGGAACTGAAGTCAAGTTCTCCACGTGAAACTACCACCACAGCACTCACTTCACCTGAAGGAATTCTTTCCTCACTTCCTTCAACTTCAACCCTCTGTAATGGTGGGTGGTGGGTTCAATACTCCAAAACTAGTTTTCATGTATTGCCTTTAAATTTTGAATCTCTCTTTCTTTCCCTTTCTCTCTCTCTCCCCTATTTTTTTTTTTTTTTTGTAGTATGGAGTTTGAACTCAGGACTTCCCGCTGGCTAGGCAGCACTCTATCACTTGATTTACTCCACCAGCCCTGTTTTGTGTTGGGTATTTTCATGATAGGGTCTCAGGAACTATTTGCTCCAGCTGGCTTTGAACTATGATCCTCCTGATCTCTGCCTCCAAAGTAGCTAGGATTACAGGCATGAGTCACTGGCTTAGACTCTCATTTGAGAATATAATTTCCTATCTAGTGCTTTGCTCTCAGCCTTAAGGGATCTCAATCAAAATTGAGACAAAGTCCTTTCCTATGGTCTATGACATTACAAAATAATATTATCAGTGTTAAATAATATGGACAATAAAGCCAAATAAAGAAATATTTTTTATTGGAAGAAAGCATAACTTTTTCTCAATGTATTTTCTTGATTTAGCCATACTGATACATGCCATATCCCATTTAATCTATTTTAATAGTATTAGATAGTAGTTTTACATATCAAGTAGCTTATGACCTTGAAATCTAATTCCCTAACAGATGAGGGTTTCTTTCCCCTATACTTTTCTCTCCAGAAACATTGCTTCAACGAAGTTCCACCTATAACAGTTTTTTGTGTATTGCCTCCCATCAGTCTACTTCCACCTTTTTCCAATTATTATGCTTTATAATTTAGAAATCAGACATTAGATTTCTTTCATAAGTGTTTACACTTAACAATTTTTTTTGGCAGTACTGGGGTTTGAGCTTAGGACCTCACACTTGCTAGACGGGTACTCCACCACTTGAGCCACTCCGTTAGTCCTTTTTGCACTTTCGGGTTTTTTTTTTTTTTTAATAGAATCTTAAGTTTTTGCCTGGGCCAGCCTGAACTGAGATCCTCCTAGTTATGCCTCCTGCTCAATTGGAGTGACACAATGCCCAGCTTACTGGTCAAAATGGGGTCTTATTAACTTTTTACCCAGGCTGGCCTCAAACTGAGATCCTCCTGATATCCACTTCCCAAGTAGTTGGGATTACAGTAGTGACCTGCTGTGTCCAGCCACCACCCTTACAATTTTTAAGATGCATGCTCGACTAAATCTGTACCACTTGTCTCATGAACCCTCTACTTCAAAAACACCTTTTCTTTCATAATTACATCTCTATTTCTTTATGATATATTTTAATTTTCTCAGATCTAGCTTCCAATTCACTATTTCTCTCTTTAGCCATAGCTTGTCTACTTTAAAAGAGTGTTTCTGCTCCAACAGATATATTTATTTCACTGGACAAGTTGTTTCTTTCCCCCAAACCTGCCTATTCTTTTTATACTATCCCATTCTTATGCTTTCTATTTCTTTTTTTAATCTCTGTGACCATTCCAAGCATATTTAAGGTCTCTTTCAAATTGTTTTGCTACCTCTACTTTTTGGGATAGTGACGCTATTACTTACATTTATCTACTCATTGTCTCTCCAGACAGCTATAACTTACTGTCTTATAGCATTTCTAACATTTCACTATGAGTTCATCTTTAAAGGGGATTATTTTCCATGAGAGTTCTGAGTGCCCTAAAATGTGGAGTGTCTTAAGTCAGGGAAATCTCACCCAGGCACCTCCTAGCTACTGGTGAGATTGAGATTAGGAGGATCACATTGCAAGTCCAGGCCAGGCAAATGGTTTTTGAGACCCCATCTCCAAAATAACCAGAGCAAAATGAACTGAAGGCATGGCTCAAGCAGTAGAGTATCTACTACTCTGTGAGCACTTACTTTGCAAGTAGGAAGCCCTCAGTTCAAACCCCAGTCCCACCAAAAAAAAAAAAAAAAAGACAGGGAAATCTCTGTCTTTGGACTTTGGATTTTATGTGAATTTTTTCAGATTTTTGGATAGTGTAAATTTAAACTATATATATGTATGCATACATCATAGATGAACATATTTAATAAATATATAAATTACACACATTTAAATACATTTATTTCCATTCATGGTAATAACTGTGTGGCTCTAATGTAAGAGTCAACACTTTTTCCATGTAAGACCCTAAGAAGATTGCCATCTTCACATTGTTTTCTTTGACTGGTGGATGGAATTTTTCTAGCTCATTTTTCACAAATATGGTATCCCTGTTTTGGCTCCCAGTTTCTTGTGGGGGATCAGTTCCAGCTCTCATCATGTGCCCGAGACCTTATCTCCTGTCTGCATTACATCTTGTTTCAATATTCCCTGGAACAATTCAGCTTCAACTCTCACTTACAGCTCTGGGTTTCAATTTCTTCTTTCTTCTTGGCATGTTAGGATTTCCCTTTTTTGCTTTCAAGCTCAGTTCTATATTGGAGACTTTTTATATAGCATTTCTACACGATTGGAATTGGGTTAAGGAGTCCATATGGAACTACAGAAGTCCAAACTCTTTAGCATGGTATAAAAGGCCTTCCATGACATGGCTCTGGTAATCCTTTTCAGTCTCATCACTTGCTCCACGTATGACTAGTAGCTGCCTAAATCAACCACAGTATTCCATGCCCTTTGCCGAGGATGCTTTTTCTTTGACTAATACACAGCTATTTATTTTTAAGACTCTTTAAATGTCAGGTGCCCGTGGCTCATGCCTATAATCCTAGTTATTTGGGACGCTAAGATCAAGAGGATTGAGGTTCAAGGCCACCCTGGGGAAATAGTTTGAGAGACCCCCACCTCCAAAATAATCAGAGAAAAATGGACTGGAGGTGTGGCAGTGTGTCTGAAGCGGTACATCACCTGCTTTGTGAGTACCTGCTCTGCAAGTGTAAAGCCCTGAGTTCAAACCCCAGAACCACACACACAAAAAAAAAGACCCTCTTCAAGTTATCACCTCTTCTATATGAAGTCTTTCTTACTTCTCTCCTACCATATTTGACAATATTCCCCTTTGGGTCCCAGTGCAACCTGTATAGGCTCCTATTACTATATTGATGCTTTCTGCATATACTAATCAACAAGACTAATCTTTCCCACCATACTATGAAGAACTTAAGAGCAGAGACTATTTATTATTTATTTATTTATTATTATTTATTTATTATTTATCTCTCTGTGCTTAGTGCTCAGTAGGTGTAATGAAACTAAACTATTATACAATTCAGTTTTCAGATCTGAAATTTTAGGGCAGAAACAGGGGGAAAAGTCTGTTTTGGAGGAAAAGAATTATACATACCTCAAAGAAATGTTTCCTTATAGCTGCCTAAATATGGGCCTGAAAACAAGTATTTTGAATTTTTATCTGAGTTCTTTAGGATATAAATGGACACAGATCGTCAATGAGGAAGCTAAAACGAGTAGTGGAACAGTTATCACCAGAAAGATGTGCTTTTCATCTGGTCTTATGGTTAGGGATGGCTGCAACATCAGGTTTGATGAGAACCATCAGGGAATGTGATTCACTCACAAGTAAGGACAAGAGACAACATATTGGGTAGTTAATCCTACAAAGGAAAAAAGAGGTTCATAGAGCATTCGGAGATGCTGAACCTTTTAGAATTAATATATTCTAGGATCTTTTATTTAAAAAAAAATCTACTATTGTAACCAACGAAAAAAATCATTCTGCCTGTAATCCCAGTACGCCAGGATGATCAAGAGTTTGAGGTCAGATGGAGCTACAAAGTGAGACTTTGTCTGTAAAATACAGAGAGAGAGAGAGAGAGAGAGAGAGAGAGAAATAGAGAGAATCCTCTGAAAAAGAGAAATTACCTCTCCTTAAAGAAATCCGAAGAGATTAACCAAATTAACCTTTACCATTTAAATGTACACTACATGAGCTCTACTGAGTATCATTTTTATTGAATGTGATAAGGCTATAGCAAAATTGCTTGTAATATCTGATAACATAAGTAAAATGTTCCTAATATCCCAAGATTTTTTGTATCTTCTCAGCTTGGCATTCAGAAATCTCTGGGTTTTTATTCACCCTATGGGGGCAGATTATGAGATTATGGATCCAGACTGTCAAATTCAAGTCCCAGCTTTGCTACTTATAGCTTCATGACCTCGGGCAAGTTACTTGATCTGTGCCTTACATTGTTCATGTAGAAAGTGTAAATCACAAAGCATACATTCCATAGAGCTATTATTAAGGCTTAAAGACTTAATACATCCTGCAGCTAGGTGTGGTGATTCATGCCTATAATCCTAGCTACCCAGAATGTAGAGACAAGGGTGAATCTCAGCTGGAGGCCAGCCTGGGCAAAAAGTTTTCAAGACCCCAACTCAAACAATAGTTGGTGTGCTGGTGTGCTCATGTCATCTAAGCTACATGGGAGAAGCACAAATAGGATGATCACAGTCCATACTAACAGGGGCACAAAATGAGACCCTATCCCAAAAATAACAAATGTAAGAAGTGGCCCAAGTGGCAGAGTACCTACCTACGAAGCACAAGATCCTGAGTTCAAACCCCAGTACTGCCAAAAGAGTTAATATAGTTGGTGGTGCACAACTGCAATCCCAGCACTTGGGAACCTGAGGCAGGAAGACTGCAAGTTCAAGGCCAGCCTGAGCTACATAGCAAGTCCCTGATTCAAAAATTAAAAAACAGGGCTGCTGTAGTGTTTAAGTGGTAGAGCACTTGCCTAACAAGTGTGAGGCCCCGAGTTCAAACTCCAGGACCGGCAAATAAATAAATACATATATACAAACAAAAAACACCAAACAAACAAAAAAAGAATTAATATATGCATATGGGCATAATGTCAGGCCCATGGAATGGGCTCAATAAATGTTAGTAGCAATCATTATCATCATCTTCATCATCATCATCATCATTTTTACCTCCAGCTTTACTACACAAGCCTCTTCATTTTGTACATAAGAAAAAGAAACTAAGCCAGGTGTGGCAGCTCATACCTTAAGCCCAGCTACTTGTGAGGCAGAGATCGGGAAGATCATGGTTAGAGGTCAGCCCACACAAAACATTAGTGACATCATCATTCCAATCAATAAGCCAGGCATGGTGATTGTGTGACTGTGTCCCAGCCACACAGATGGCCGTAAGTAGGAGACAGGTCTGAGGCAAGTCCTAGGCAAAAACTGAAGATCCTCCCAGAAAAATAACTAAAGAAAAGAAGGGCACAAGATTCAGCTTTTATTTACTTGGCATTCATAACAACTCTGCAGGTTAGGTATTGTAAGGTGTTATTCCTGATATTAATGAGGAAAATAAAGCTTCAATCTTCAGCAGATTCTTAGCATTAAACCATTACGCTAAGCAGGTATGGTGGTGCAGGCCTGAGATAGGAGGACCATGAGTTCAGAGCCAGCCTGGGAAACACAGTGAGACCTTGTCTCAAAACAAACAACTATCACCCCTCATCCCAAAAAAACCCCAAACATGATGCTGGTACATGGAAATATGTGACTTGGGAGAGAATGGACCTAGAAAACTACTTAAAATGTGTGTGTTTAACACAACTTGTTTTCAATTTGCTATTGTATACACTTGAAAGTAAGCACGTAAGTATATAAAGGTAACAGAACGGCAAGGACCACTCCCTGCGTGCTTACGTGCTACTGCTGCCCTCTACCACACCCTGAGGTGCCTGCCACACACTCTTCTCTGACCACGAAAACACACATTGAGCACTCTTCTTTCAGAACCCTTATTGTCTACATGACCTTTTACAATGAATTACATGATTTTATATCATTATTAATTTCTTATATTTTGATCTCCTTATAAGGGGGCCAATATTTTCATCTTAAATTTCTCTTATTCCCCATAGTAGTACTGTAGTGCTGAGCATAAAGGTGCTTCACAATAATATTTGTAGAACAGTTTAATATCAAAATCTTTATAAGCAAAATAAAGATGATTATTATTTATTCAATAGATTTTAGCTACAATGTAGCAGGCACTGCATTAGGTCTTACAGCAGAATTAGACCGTAAGAAATTGCATCCGAGGCCTCAGGAGTTTATGGTGGGTCTAGGATAACTACAGATAATCAGATAATTATACTATAGCAAGGTAAATGCTGGGACAAATATGAACTACATGTTAAAAGGGTACTGAAGAGGGAAGAATTAACTCTCACAAAGGACCCAGAAAATACTTCAACATTCATTTATTTAACAAATATTAAATGATCCCTTACTATGTGCCAGGCACTGTGCAAGAACACAGAGTTAAATGAAATATTCAAGGGTCTATATCATCATGGAACTTATGTTCACAGGTAAAGTGGTTCATGAATGGGTTGACAAGTGAGTAGTAGGAATGCATCCCGTAAAGAGAGAGAGAGAGAGAGAGAGAGAGAGAGAGAGACTTTCCGGGAAAAGGGACCAGCATCGGGTCAAAAGAAAGCCCTACAAGCTGGGCAATGTTGGCTCACGCCTATAATCCTAGCTACACAGGAGGCAGAGATCAGGAGGATCGTGGTTCAAAGACAGCCTTGGCAAACAGTTCTCGAGACCCTATCTCGGAAAAAACCTTCACAAAAAAAGGTTGGTGGAGTGGCTTGAGGTATAGGCCCTGAGTTCAAGCCCCAATACCACACACACACAAAAAAGAACCATACAAGACATAAAAGAGACCAGCTATATAAAGTATCAAAAATGGGGTGTGGCTAGAATGCTTTCACATAAACAGAAAGCCACAAAGGATAAGATAAAGTGTGCAGAGACAGAACAGAAAAGGTCTATGACAAAATTTTTTAGAGATTTAGTTCATTTGGTTATTTAGAAAAGTATATTGTAGCCTACTGTAAGCCAAGTCCTGGGCCAGGTGCTGGTGACAAAAAAAAAAAAAAAAATCACTAAGACACCATCTTGCTTTTTATTTACTCATTTATTTATTTTTAAGTGGTACTGAGTTTTGAACTCAGGGCCTTGCACTTGCTAGGCAGGCACTCTATCACTTGAGACACGTCTCCAAAACCTTTCGCTTTAGGTATTTTTGGACTAGGATATCACATTTATGCCCTGGCCAACCTGGTGTGATCCTCCTATTTATGCGTTCCAAATAGCTGAGAAAACAGGCACATGCTACCACACCCAGTTCAATTGGTTAAAATGGGATCTCACGATCTTTTTACCCAGGTTGGCTCTGAACTATGATCCTCTATCTTGATCTCTGCCTCCCAAGTAGCTAGGATTACAGACATGAGCCACCATGCCTGGTAAGACAGACTTGCTCAGTATACCAGTGTGCAGTCATGTAAAGAAACAATTTTAATACAGCATAAATAGGAACAATGATAGGGACATGTTTAATTCATAGAGATGGCTCAGAGAAGAGTCATCCTTTTCTGATTAGACTGACTCTGTGTCTGGGGGTAGAGAAGAGTAGTTAGGAAAGGGTAGAGAAGACTCTCGAACTAGGTCCTGGGTTCAAATAGGATTTTAGAAAGTAATGATAATAACAATAATAGAAACACTTGCATAGCACTCAGCATGTGGCAAAGCACTTTGCAAATACTGACTTACTGAAATCTTATACCTCATAAAACAGGCATCATTAATTTCCATTTTATAGATGAAGACACAAAGAGGTTAAATAACTTGCCCAAAGTCATAAAGGCAGAACCGGATTTTAGCACAAGCAGTTTAGCTCCAGAGTCTGTGTTCTTTTTTTTTTTTTTTCTCTTTCTTTCTTTGCGGAACTGGGGTTTGAACTCAGGGCCTCACACTTGCTAGGTAGGCACTCTACCACTTGAGCCACTCTGCCAGCCCTGTTTTGTGTTGGGTATTTTCAAGACAGGATCTCATGAACTATTTGCCTAAGCTAACTTTGAAACACAATCCTTCTAATCTCTGCCTCCTGAGTAACTAGGATTCGTGAGCCACCAATACCTGGTCAGGGTCTGTGTTCTTAATCACTATACTAAACTAATTCCAAGACAATAGAGTAAAGGCATTCCTGACAATCCTATATGCAAAGGCACAGAGGCATGAGAGAGCATATCATGGAGGTTGGGGATGTTGCACAGTGGTAGAGCACTTACCTAGCATGCAAGAGGCCTTGGGGTCGATATCCAGCTCTGCCCCCACACATAACCCAGCCAGAAAAAAAAACAAAAAACAAAGAAAACCAAACACATAATTTTTGATGACTTGTGAGTAGCTGACATTTGGGGGGAGATAAATAATAATAATATTAGTAGGGGATGAGGCAGACAGGTACAAGGTAGTGAAAAACTTTGGGTACATGTAATAAAATGTGGTCTTTATCAATAGGTAATAAAAATTACTGAAAGGGTAGGTAGGGAGGTGATTGGAATAGATTTTCTTTTCTGATTTAGACTTATTTCTCTGATATAAGCATGGAAGGGAGGTAGATAAGGGATAACAAGGGCAGGGAGACAAGTCAGCAGACCATAGCACTGTTCTAGATGAGGAAATAACAAGATTTTGAATTTAAAGTGAGAGACATGAGTATGGACAAGAAGCAGAACTGAAAACTGAACATAAGAGAGAAAGAGTTAAAGATGGCTCCAAGGTTTCTTAGCCCCACTTATTTTGTAGATGGATATAAAAATAAATATAGGAGAGTAAGTAACAGATTGGGAAGAAAAGCTAATGCATTTAAGGGGAATTTTATTCCATATGCCTACTGTTTATTCTGATTCCATTTATCTTTACCCATTTATTTTCATCATTACACATAGGGACTCTCAACTGGGGCACAAGCATGAACAAAGGAGAGAAGGGGCATTTACAATGTAGGTTTTTGTAGGCGAGTGTATGTGTAGTTCAATTACTACTACTACCCATTTTCCTCCAGAGAGTATGAAATCAGGACTCCCTCATTGAGAATCACTGTTGTATACAGTGATTATCCAGGAATATTCTAAGAAATCAGTGTCAACTGAAACTGTTCCATGAAAACCACAGAACTGAAAAGATAGGAGAGACTTTAAAGATCCTTCAGAGTTCACCAGATCTCAACCAAAGGTGTTTGGAAACACATGAAGGAGGTGCTATCTGCATTTAGTGCCTGGAGTCAGGGATGCTAAACATCCTGTAATGTGCACATAACTTCAAATAAAGATATTACCTTGCCCCCAAATGACAACTTCAAGAAACAAATGCCCCTTGAAGAAGCACTGATATAGTTCAACTTCTACATTTTGTAGATGAGGAATTTAGTGATCCAGAGGAAGGAATGATTTGCTTAAGATCACCCAGTTGCATAAAGGACTGTGAACCCAGAGCTTCTGTTTATAGCTCCTTCACTGCGTTCTAATAAGGGTGTGGTGAGCCTGTGGGGGCACACATAAAAGGAGTCCAAATGAGTATCTAAGTTAAGAACATTGTGTTGTTGTCACAGTCCTTCACACATTGTTTCTAGCCCCAGATCCCCTCTCACCTTCAGAGATCTAGACTAGAGGTGAAGGTGTGGCTCTCATGCGTATAGAAAGCCTTGAAAGGGAAAAAGTTACCCCAGCCAAATACATAAAACGTGACAGAGCTCTGGGATGCACAAATATCAGGAATCTAGGGGAGGAGGTAAAACCAATAAAGGAAGCTGAAAAGAAAATATCAGACAGGAAAGGTTCAAGATGACAAACAGACTAACTGCAAGTTGTTTTGTTTTTAGTGAAATAACCACTACTTAAGCATTTAATAGCTACATACATTCATTGATTTCTTTTTTAACATATTTATGGTTGGTTGGTTTGTTTGTTTTATGTATGTATGTATGTATGTATGTAGGACAGTATTGGGGACTGATTCCAGACATCCCATTTGCTAGGCAGGTGCTCTGCCACTTGAGCCAATCTGACAGTCCCCATTGATTCTTTGTATATACTCCTTGCTTCTCTTGCTAATAGAAATCAAACTGACCCAACACAGAAACACAAGAAATACAATTAAAACAGGGCACCATGACTCCTCCAAAACTCAACTCCACAGTAACAAACCCTAATGACAGTGAAGTGGATGAATTAAAAAAAAATAATTGTAAGAATGGTCAATGAAATTAAAGAGGATACAAATAAACACCTGAATGAATTTCAAGAAAACACAAAGAAAGCCAAATGAAATAAAGAAGACAATGCAAGACAAGAAAGGGGAATTCGATAAAGATATAGACATTCTGAAAAGAAACCAAATTGAAATTCTGGAAATGAAAACTTCAGTAAGTGAAATAAAATACTCAGTTGAAAGCTTCTCCAGCAGACTGGAACAAATTTAAGACAGAATATCAGG